GAATCCGACCTTCACTGGGGGAAAGCGGACCCGACGAATATATCCCTCCTAATCTAAAACTTGATGCCCACCTTCCACCCCTTACTAACCCCCCTCGCCACAACAAACAACACCGTAGACACCGCATACATGGCCCCACAAAACCCTATCAACCCATCATACTCCCCCCCTCCCCCTGCCCCCAATATCGACCCGGAAAGCGGGACACCGGCCAAAGTCGCCAAGCTCACAACCCCATACGCCGTCCCATAACGACTCGCATACTCCTCCGTCCTACACAGCTGCGCCACACAAACTGGCGTAAGACTATACGCCGGACCGCTGAAGAAGCCATAGACGATAGCAAAGACCACAATACCAGCCACACTGGAGCCGAGGCGCAACCACAGCCCGAAAACAGATGCCGTGCACACGGCCGAACAGAGAATCATGACGTTGAAGCGGCCCAGTTGATCTGCAATCGGACCTGGTAGACCACGCCCGAATATCGAGGCTGCGTTCAAGAGGGCGAGCACATGCGGTGCGATATCGTGGAGGCCTCTTGAGCGTGCATACAACGTCACGTATGCCGGCGGCACCAAGACGGCCCAGTCGAGGACGAATATTGCAGCCATGGTTAGCACGAAGCGGGGATCGCGGAAGCTGCTCCATTCGAGGGAGATGAGGCCCGTGGCAGTGTGCGTGGGGCGTGGGAGGCGGGTGCGCAGCAGGGCGGAGCCGGCGAGGAGGCAGCAGCCGCTTAGTAGGGCAAAGCAGCGTAGTGTCCATGGGAAACCGAGTCTTGGGACGAGGGTGTGGAAGAGGATGGGGTAGAGGACGCCGCCGAAGCCGCCGGCGGTGGTGGCGAGGCCGGTGGCTAGGGCGCGGTTTTGGTGGAACCAGTGGCCAAGGGTGGCGATGCTGGTGGTCCAGAGGAGGGAGGAGGCGGTGCCGCCTAGGATGCCGAAGGAGAGGAGGAATTGGTAGTATTCTGGTGGTGGGGGGTTAGGTGTGTTGTGATGCTGGGAGATGGGGGAGATGAGGATTGGGATATGTATTTACCTTTACAAAAACTGGTAACTAACAAAGAGCAAACCAGTCCACCAGCACCAAGCCTCACCAGGATCTTCTCTCCATACTTGTCAAACGCTGGACCTGTTATACATACATAATCATCAGCAGAATATACCATCCCTACACTCATCCATCCTGCTCTCTCCATCAAACCTTACCAACACAGCACCAAACCCCAGAATGAATAAAGCCAAAAACTCACCAACCCCGACCCCCCCAAAAAAAACCAAAAACGCAAACACACTGAATATCCACGCAACCTCGCCCTCTGCATACCGCCCCCGGAGCTCGTGTTCGACCAGGCGGGCCTGAAATATGCCAGTCGAGTTGAGCAGGCCCGAGGCCGGGAGAAGGAGAAGCCAGGCGCCAAGGACGACGGCGTACGCTCTTGTGCCGCGCTCGAGGTAGGCGGAGGCGGTGGAGGATGAGGGTGTGGACATGGTGGGCTTGGTTGGGTGGTGTAGGTACGATGTGGGATTCACAGCTGACCGTACGGTAGGGATCTGGTCCTTTTTCTTTGATAATGAGGAAGTAGGGTGCCGTATCTTATCAATTAACCTAGCAAAGCAGTATCATTGAAGCAAAAGGAAGGGGGAGTTTTTTTTTTTCAAAGAAACATTTGTCAAGTGATATTGTGCAAGTTTCTGCATGAGGGGAGTGTATTGTGTTCATTGGCCAGTTCCAGAGCGTGAAGGGCAGCTCATTGGCTAGTTCGACAGCATTCATAGCAACAGCACCAATGGAATGCCCCTAGGCCTACTGCCGCACTTTTTTAGAATTCATAAACATGTCTCGATATATTGAAGGGTACGGGGTGTCTGTATTATCGGCTGACGGG